AAAGTAATATCTACTTTACCAACAACTTATTCTATTTCAGCATTAGAAAGACACTAGAAACAATCAAAAGTCCCTAACGGCAGATATCCCCGCGCGGCGTTTGGTTTGACGCAATATTCTACAGGGTGTTCTTTTTTTAATGATGGCAGAGAAATGCTACTTTTATATTAAAGTAACTTACGGTTATTATTTCTAATTGTAAAATAATTACCGTTTAAATTTTTTAATTATAGTCACCATCAATATTTTCTAAAAATTAAATATTCTCACCTTTTTTCCAGGGCATGTTCCGAATAGAAAAATTGCATTTAGGAAAAAGGAGGAATTTAAATATTATTTTTATTGGCCAAAAGTCTCTATCCTTTTTCTCTTTAAAAGTTAAAATAAACATTATATTTTTTAAAAATGATAAATATTCTTAGAATTTTTCTCAATGGAGCAACGAATAAAAACATTGCGCTTTTTGTAAATAGGAGGAGGAAATATTTAATTTTTAAAAAATAAAACATAATCCCAACCCCCCCAAAAAATTAATGCTTTTACACGAATAAAAATAAGAAACAAACTCCTCCTATTTTCAAAATCAATTTTTCTATTTGTTGGTTAAGTTAAACAAAATGGAGAAAATACTTAATATATGAAAAATAAAACATTATACCCTCAACCCCCAAAGAAAAAATGGTTGCTTCACACCAATGAAAATAATAAACAAACTCCTCCTATTTTCAAAATCAATTTATCTATTTGTTGGTTAAGTTAAACAATATGGAGAAAATACTTAATATTATATGAAAAATAAAACATATAACCTCAAACCCCAAAGAAAAAATGGTTGCTTCACACCAATCAAAATAATAAACAAACTCCTCCTATTTTCAAAATCAATTTTTCTATTTGTTGGTTAAGTTAAACAAAATGGACAAAATACTTAATATTATATGAAAAATAAAATATATAACCTCAACCCCCCAAAGAAAAAATGGTTGCTTTAGACCAATCAAAATAATAAACAAACTCCTCCTATTTTCAAAATCAATTTTTCTATTTGTTGATTAAGTTATACAAAATGAAGAAAAGAATAATATTTTTAAAATAAAACATATAATCCCAACCCCCTAAGAAAAAATGGATGTTTTAGACCAATCAAAATAATAATCTGCAAACTCCTCCTACATAAAGAAAGAAAATTTTCTATTTGTCGCTTTAGTTAAACAAAATATGAAGCGAATATATTAAATTTAAGCTCAACTTTTTACAAAAAATATACTTCTAGCTAATAAAAATAAGATTCAAACTCCTCCTACTTAAAATTAAAGTTTACTATGAACTATACAAAAATAGATTGAATCTCCTCCTATTTTTTCGGAAAGGCTTGTGGTTAAATTTCATATTTTTTTAAAGTTTAATATTTTCTCCATTTTGTTCTATTTGAACACACGAAGGAAAAATATCTTTCATTCAGAAGGAGGAGTTTAGGTTTTAATTTAATTGGTTTAAAACATCTATTTTTTCTTTTGGGGGTTGGAAAAATATGTTTTATTTTTTAAATATTAATTTTTTCTGCATTTTGCGTTTAACTTAATCAAAAAATAGAAAAATTGATTTTGAAAATAGGAGGAGTTTGGTTGTTATTTTGATTTGTTTAAATCATCTATTTTTTCTTAGGGGGTTGGGTTTATATGTTTTATTTTTTAAATATTAACTAGATTCTCCATTTTGTTTAACTCAACCAATAAATAAAACATTGCATTTTGAAAATAGGAGGAGTTTATTTTTATTGGCCAGAAGTTTTTTTTTCTTAATGGGTTAAGACTAAATGTAACTTTGTAAAAATTAAATATTCACTCCCTTTTTGTATTGTTGAACCAATCAATAAAAAATTTGTTTTCTTTAAGAAGGAGGAGTTTGAATCTTATTTTTATTAGCAAGAAGTATATTTTTTGTAAAGGGTTGAGCTTAAATTTGTAAACGGTTGTTTAATTTAATTTTTAATTAAATGATTATTTAAGATGTCACTTTTTATCCCATTTTTCTCGAGTAAGGAAAATCATAACTTTATTGAAAATTATAGCCATAACTGTATATTAATTGTATAATATATATTAATATATATTCCTATATATTAATATATAGTAAACTAAAATTAATAGAGTTACATATAATTCTCAATATAAGGAACTTATATTTACTACTATTTTTACTACATGTTAGAACCAGCAAGCACTAAATTTTCTCCATTTTCCTTTCACTTTTCCGTGCCCAGCGCACAGCCCATTTTCTTTCATTCACGCTCCCCCTTTCTCTCTTACTCTTCTCTCTCCGTCTTACCCATACGTCCGTCTCACTCGCACCTTGACGCGCACAGGCCCATTTCCCTCGCTCATTCGTCGTTTCGCCGGCGGACGTCCGGCCCATTTTCTTTCACCCTCCACTCTCTCCATTTCCTTCCGTGCATTTCACTCTCTCTATTCTCGAATACCTCCTTGCTGGTTCTGTTTTCCTAATACTTCTCGCGCTTAGAATTTAGGAAAATTGTTTAAATAAAAGCTTATTATATAATTATAAGATCGCGGATCGATACCAAACGTATGTACATATACGTTGGTATCATATGATTAGATGCTTATAGGCGTATATATATACCTATATACGTATATATATATATATATATGCATACGTGTAGGCATATACTCGCATAACAGCCAACCCTATATGCTCCTTACGTGAAGAATCGACGCCGGAAATTAATATTAAGGTATGATTGAAACCTGTATGCAAATTTATGTGTGTTTTATATAAATAATTTGAATATTATAAAATTATAATATGTTAACTTCAACTCTTTCGTTCGGTATGCAAATTGTGTGTACGAGTGAGAGAGAAAGAGCGTGTTGAACGTAGTCCGAAAGGATTAGTGTCAACTTTTGACGCTACGAGCGTTATCTTTAGTAATGTAATGTAAGATTGGGTTCTCTCGCAAATGACATGCCTCATCACCCCTATTTAAGGCGGGGGTGCGAGACCACCCAGTCAGTCGATCACTCACTTGCACTCGATGTTGATCCTCTCCTCTAACGAATAAAGTTCTTTGCAACTCAATTCACCAGAGTCTTTTTATCATTTTTGCCGAGCCTGAAGTGTTCCTCACCTCACTCGACGTTTTTGGGTCTTACTGTGTTCACAGAAAGTACTGCTTTACCCTTCTCCGGTATTACCGATACGGAAGAGTCCCTCTTCCGAAAATCGTAATCCGAGAAGACGCTGATAGGTGTCTCGCCTTGTCGTCCAACTGTACGGAAGAGTCCCTCTTCTGCAAGGTTTGACGACGAAGTGATACTCGTACGGTACGTACCCGTAGAGACGCGCTATACGGAAGAGCCACTCTTCCGAAAATAGTCGCCCCTGCGTGTGCACTCCAGAGCGAGTTGTCTCCCTGCGGTCCGCCGAATTAACGGAAGAGTCTCTCTTCCGCGATTCCGTACTACGGGAGACCACCTATCTAACCTCGTTTCGTCGTTCGTTACGGTACGGAAGAGCCTCTCTTCCGAGCTGCCGAGCGCATTTTTAGCCCCAAATAGAAAAAAACAAACTATTAGACCGCGCAGTCGCTAAGGGCGAAATTCGCTCGAGAAGTCTCTGCGTTGCGCGTAAATTACGGAAAAGTCCCTCTTTTGCGCTTACGCAACAACGTATGACCGGCCCTCGAGACGTGCCCGATCGCCGGTAAATACCCTCTTCTGCGTTGTTACCCGGTCACTACCTTTTTTCTACGTAACTATTTTCTTTCTACCCAAGTCGAATCAGGTTTTCCTTGTTTCGCACCCTTTGACCGCGTCATCCACACCGTGACCGGTATCAAATTTAATATATTCGCTTCATATTTTGTTTAACTAAAGCGACAAATAGAAAATTTTCTTTTTTTATGGAGACGCATTCCTATTCTCTAAAGTAAATTTGTTCGAACTTCAATTAAACAGAATTTTAGGTGGTAGAAATGTCCCTTATCCGTTTTTTTATTTATCATAGTTATTAAGAGTCTTACAGCGTAGATAATAAAAATATATAATACAGGAATTAGAATTTAAACAAATTTGCAACAATATTAATTTGTCAATAGTAGAACTTTTGTTTAAAAAAATTTTATATTTCAGAATTCTATTTTATTTGAAACTTCGATTTTGCAAATTTTTATTTACAAGAATTTTCATTTAAAAGAATTTTCAAAAAACAAAATTTATCCGTAATCGAATTTTCATTATACAGAATTTACATTAGGACAAATTTTAATTTCACGAAATTTTTTATTTACTACAATATTTATTAAACAGAAGTCATTTAAACAATTTTTTAATTGACAGAAGAATCATTAGAATGAATTTTTTCTTAGTCGACTTTTTATTTCTCAAAATATTAATTGATATAAAATCGATTTGAGCAACTTTTTATATGACAAAAATCTCACATAATCGAAATTCATTTAGACAGAATTTCTAATTATTGAAATTTTCGTTTGTCAGAATGTTCATATGCTAGAAATTTTATTTTATAGAATTTAAATATGACAGAATTGTAAAATACTCGAGTTTCTACTATGCTGTTAAAAAGATAAATTTATAAATAAAATCAACAAAAACGTAAACTTAAAGAAAGTTCGGAAATAAAATAAACCAAGACACAAAACTTTAAAATTAACAATGTAACTATTTATTGTATTATATCTTTGACTATTCGTTACAGAGTTCTTAAACCCGACTAACTGATATTTCATACACTCATGTTCTTAATGCTTTTCATTTTCGTCAATCTTCGTTTTGTTTAGGATTAAAGCCGAAAACCTCAACCTTGATTTTAATCTCTCATATACACACATACATTTTAACATCCTCCCGCCATCGGATTTTTTTCTACAAGTCGTTATAATTATATAAAAATCTGATTACTACAAAAAATTAAAATTATACAATTAAATATCAATTTCTACAAACATATTCAAATTACAATTAATATCGTTGTGGTTTACGCACTATTCGTCCACTTCTCGTAACATAACATTCTGGTGTGTCATTCACACTTTCATCATTGTGTGTAACAATAACATCATCGTTTTCATGTACACTAACATCACACGAGTCATCTAATACAGGTATCGATTTTTTCTTTCTCTCAATATACAAATTACGTAAATCTTCTGGGCACACATCATTTTCTACTTCTAAAGGGCACAATCTTTGTACCGGGCGAATCAAGAAACCTGACGCAGTCTTCAAACGTACCACTCTGACAATATTATCCTTTCCAGGAAAAATCTCTACAACTCTAGCTAACGGCCACTCTATTCTTTTATCGCAATCATTACTGATAAGGACCACATCACCTACTTTAATTTCTTTATTTTTAACGGAACGCCTGGATGAAGCATAATTTAATGTGCCTAAGTACTCATTACGAAATCTCATTCTCAATTCGTTTTTTAAAACTTGTCGATATTTATATCTACCTTTAAATTTGTTCATGTCAAAACTATCGCAATCGGGCACTCCCGATTCTTTGATTTCTAATAAAAACATATTTGGTGTGATTGGTACAAGATCATTCGGATCCTCTGATAAATAAGTTAACGGACGAGAATTAATGACAGATTCACAATCACATAGGACAGTCAACATTTCATCATAATCGAGACAAGCTCTACCGAGCACTCTACGTAGCATGCGCTTTAAAATTTGTACTATTCTCTCCCACCAACCTCCCCACCATGGAGAGCTTGGTGGATTAAACTTCCACTCAATTTTCTGAAGACTACACGCGGTACTGATGTTTGACCAATCAAGACTTTTCAATAAATTAGCAAAACCACTAAAATTAGTACCATTATCACTCCATATCGTACTCAGACGACCTCGCCTCGCTACGAATCGGCGCAAAGCCTCCATGAATCTGTCAGTGGACAATGAAATTACTAATTCGAAATGCACGGCGCGATAAACTGCACAAGTAAATATGCAGATCCAGGCCTTCCGTTCATTCCGCAGAAATACAGGTCCCGCAAAATCCACGCCAGTAATCTCAAAAATTCGTGCATCACGTACTCGCTCACGCGGTAGGGGGGCGGTTTCTACTGTCATACGTTTAGAATCTTGTCTCTTGCAAACTACACATTTACTAACTATACTTCGTGCTATTTTTCGACCATGGATTATCCAATAATCCTCACGCAACATACTGAGCAACGTACTTACATTCACATGTCCATGATTTTCATGTTTTTCAGTCATCAAGAGTCGAACAAGAGGATTTTCTCCCAACAACAATACTGGACAACGAAAATTAAACTCATCTTCTCGATATAACAATTTAGAATTTAAACGAAACAAACCATCTTGATCGACAAAAATCTTCATGTCTTTCATTCTATAATCATTCATTTCTTCAAATGACTCACGCTGTATCAAATACAAAACCTTTTTTTCAGCTTCATTTCTTTCAAATAATGTTAAATTACCGTTTCTTTTTTCTTTTTATCACAATTATAAAGAAAACGTTTTATCCACGCAAATGTCGCGATAACTTTACAAAATTTAGAGACATTTGGAGAATAGAATGACTCACATTTCTTGTTTACATTCACATTAACAGTCTGACACATGACTTCATTATTTTCCAAGCAAGACAATGGACCTGCCGATTTTTTTAATTTATTACTTATTTCCTCTTTACAATAATTGACACTCGAATCAGGCCAGTCTTTCTCAGACTTATATAACCATTTTGGTCCTTGCCACCATTTTTCATTAACAAGGGTATCAACATAACATCCCCGTGAGAGCAAATCAGCCGGATTCATCCCCCCCGGGACGTGTCGCCACGAACTTTGACTGGTGAGACCTCTGATCTCCTCTATTTGATTCATAACAAACGGACTCCACGGATAACTCTTCTGAATCCAAAATATAACAGTACTAGAATCGCTCCAAAAAAACATATTTTCTTTAGGAATTCTCATACATTCCAAGGTCGCAACTGCTAAACGAGATCCCATATTCGCAGCCAACAACTCGAGTCTTGGAATGGTAATAGCCGTCAATGGAGCGACTCTAGCCTTTGCCGTCAAAAAAGTAACCTTGACTCCGGAATTCGTTTCTATACGAGCAAATATAACTGACGCGTAGGCTTTTTTGCTAGCATCGCAAAATACATGAAAAGACAATTTTATATTCTCGTTATCAGAAGGAAACACCCAACGATCAAAACGTATCTCTTTCAAGGAAATCAGATGTCTCAACCATTTTTTAAAACGATTTTGCAATTTCTCGTCAAGTTCATCATCCCATTTTACTTTCTGAGCCCACGTTTCTTGCAACAATAATTTAGGCATTATCATAATTGGACAAACAAAACCAATAGGATCGAATATTTTATGAGCGTATGATAAAATAACTCGCTTTGTAATTTTTTCCGAAAAAATATTTTCAATGGAAGGTACATTCAATCTTAACGTGTCATCCTCTTTATCCCAGATTAAACCCAAAACAGGTATATCACGTTCCCCTCCCTTCGATTCGGTATACTCCCACCCTCTCAAATCAAATGCCGCTTTATTCATTGCAAGTTGTGAGTCATGTTTAAACTCTTCTACTTCTTGTAAAGTGCTCATACTCGCAACACAATTGTCAACATAAAAACTTTCGGCTAATATTGCAAGATTCTTTTTTACATTCTTATAACAAGACTCATTTTTACTTTCGGACGATTCTCGCGACAAATGTAAATTAATGACAGCACCCAATAAAAAGGGACTACAAGAAACTCCAAACACTACTCGCGTATGACGAAAAATAATAATCTCTTTATCTTTATTGTACCAAAAAAATTTTAAATAATTACGGTCCTTCTCATTTACAGCTATCTGTAAGAACGCTTTTCGTATGTCAGCTACTACTCCGATTTTTCTTACTCGAAAGCGTAATACAATCGATGAAATTAATTCGATCAAATTCGGACCCTTTTCTAAACAATCATTAAGAGAAGCTAAATTTTTACCTTTTGCTGAGGCGTCAAACACAGGTCGAAGTGGTGTTGTACTACCTTCTTTAATTACTCCTCGATGTGGTAAGAAATGGCCCTTGCAGTCTGGATCCGGATGTTGAACTTCTTCGATGATCCCATCTTCTTTCCATTCGTTGAGTACCTTATCATATTGCTCATAAGAATTTGTAGCAATTAATCTTTTTGTAGTTGATTCCAGCCTCTTCTTTGCCACTTCCAAATTATCACACAAAGGAGGGTGTGACTCTTTCCAGGGTAAACAAATCTCATATCTGCCCTCTGTATTCACTATCACTGTTTCTCGAAAATTCAACTCCGTTTGTTTTTCATGATCTTTTTGACACTTTTCTAACACTGGATCTTTAATCCCTATCAAATCCAAATTCCACAAATCACTGACCACAGCTTCTCTCTGAAACATCGAAATAGCTTGTTCGGCGAGTCCTTCTGTACCATTCTTAGGCACCTCTCCCATCAACGTCCACCCGAGATGTGTCTCAATTGCAGTCAAACCACACTTCAATTGCTCGATCCTACCCGTCATCAGTTTTCCAGCAATATCTGATCCTATTAACAATTTAATCGGTGCTGCATTCTTTGTAACATCTGGTCCATCAGAGAGTTGAAGATTTAAACTGCGAATTTCCTCCATCCATGGTCGATTTTCCCATAAAGGAATATGTGCACATATTGATTCTTCATCAAAAACTTTAAAATTACACAAATATTTTTCTTCAATATCACACACATGGATCAAATATTTTTTATGACTATTAACCTCAGACGACACGTTCCCAAACAGTGAGTGAATCATCTTATGCTCGCTGAGTGGTTCATATCCTAACATTTGTAAAACGTCCTTGGTCGCGTAGGATCGCGTAGATCCTGGATCAATAAATGCACGAATGACAAACTTCTTGCCTTTATTATGAATGACAACTCGTAACGTCTGTAAAATCACTTCCGGTCCTTTCGTACGATTTAACAAAACATTTTCCTTCATAATACTCTTATCGTCACTTTGCTTGTTACTTATCGGCGAACTTTTCTCACCAGAAAATTCTGGACACATTATAACAAAATGTTTTCGATTGCACCACGCACATTTCACGAAACAACGACATTCTTTGCTTCTATGGCCAACTTTAAAGCAACAAAAACATCTATTCGCACGACGCACCACTGTTCTACGCTCTTCTAATGTCATCTTTCGCGCTTGATCACATTTATCGCTATTATGATCACAATCACAGAAGACACAAGACACTGATTTAATGTCCTTTCCATTAACATGTAAACACATAGCAGATGGTATTTCTTTCGTCGACTCTGGTCGATGTTTTTGTTTTTGTCCTCTTCTGTCATCGTTGCGTAAGCTGAAACCATTTACGGCAATAGCAATTCTCTCTTCATTCTCGACTTCTGATTGTAGAAAATTTATTAACTGAGTTAGTCGATTCGCATGTACCGAACCTCCTCCCACTGTCGTTCCTTGATGACGTTGCCAAGCCCGAAGTAAATCTTCGGGAAGCGAAGATTCGACAAGTGGAAATAACATGGCGCCACACTTATCCGTCGTGACGCCTAACGATTCTAATGCTCGCAACTGAGACTCTATCTTATCATACAAACTTGCAAGAGGTAGCTTTTCTTGAGGTCTTAAAGCATTTTGCATAACCAATTTCAAAAGTTCACGCACATACACCTCCACGAGCACTGCATCACGACCGAAACGATTCTTTAAACTCGTAATCACTTTGTCGTAATTCTCACTGGTTGGCGGGAAACTTGCAACAAGCTCTGCCGCGCGGGAATTTGGCAACATTGTCTGCAACAAATATTGAAATTTGTCCTCTTTATCAATCGAAACATCTTCACGTATTTTACGAAATTGACCCCAGAACTGTAACCACTCTTTTGGTTCTCCATTAAACTTTTTTAATTCGATTTGTGGTAACTTAATATTTGTGGTCTTCATAACTTGTGTCAATGATTGTGTTCTCGAAGTGATAACCGGTGTAGGTGTATGTAGACATGTTGCCACTTTCGCCTTCGCGCGCAAATATTTCCTTTTGTATTCATCGTTGCTTGTATCTTCTTTATCGATTTCCTCAGGTGAAATATCCTCATCGTTAAGCATATATTGGATTAACACTGTATTAGCAGCATCCAAATCTTTACTTTTCTCATCCAACATTTGAGAATACACTTGCACTTTCGCAATATTCACCTGACTTAAGTTATCGATACTTAAAATAGCACTTAATTCATTTAATGTCCGCGTAAACGCTTGTCTCGAAACAGTCCGGGTTTTCTTGGCGGCGTCCATCTTGCGACGCTATCTTTCCTCGAGCACGTTTTCAATAATTTTCTTTTTTCAGGAAAAGTCCTGTCACGGTCGCCACGATGTTAAAAAGATAAATTTATAAATAAAATCAACAAAAACGTAAACTTAAAGAAAGTTCGGAAATAAAATAAACCAAGACACAAAACTTTAAAATTAACAATGTAACTATTTATTGTATTATATCTTTGACTATTCGTTACAGAGTTCTTAAACCCGACTAACTGATATTTCATACACTCATGTTCTTAATGCTTTTCATTTTCGTCAATCTTCGTTTTGTTTAGGATTAAAGCCGAAAACCTCAACCTTGATTTTAATCTCTCATATACACACATACATTTTAACATATGCCGACATCTCAAGCTAACGAAAGTTTAGTTCACAGAAATATAATTTGTCCGACAAAACTCCATTAGATAGATGTGTTGTCTTTCTCTAACTAATGGAGCATTTTTGGGCAAATTAAATTTCTGCCAACTAAACTTTCGTCAGCTTGAGATGTCGGTAAAGTAGAAATTCGTGCATATAACAATTTTGTCATATTTAAATTCTATAAAATAAAATTTCTAGCATATGAGCATTCTGGCAAACGATAAATTTTACTAATCACAAATTCTGTCTAAATCAATTTTGGTTATGTGTGATTTCTGTCATATATAAAAAGTTGCTCAAATCGATTTTATGTTAATTAATATTTTAAGAAATAAAAATTCGACTAAGAAAAAATCCATTCTAATGATTCTTCTGTCAATTAAAAAATTGTTTAAATGACTTCTGTTTAATAAATATTGTAGTAAATAAAAAATTTCGTGAAATTAAAATTTGTCCTAATGTAAATTCTGTATAATGAAAATTCGATTACGGGTAAATTTTGTATTTTGAAAATTCTTTTAAATGAAAATTCTTGTAAATAAAAATTTGCAAAATCGAAGTTTCGAATAAAATAGAATTCTGAAATATAAAATTCTGTTAAACAAAAGCTCTACTATTGACAAATTAATATGGTTGCAAATTTGTCTAAATTCTAATTGCTTTATTATATATTTTTATTATTATAATGCGTCTCTCTTTATGTAGGAGGAGTTTGATTATTATTTTGATTGGTCTAAAACATCCATTTTTTCTTAGGGGGTTGGGATTATATGTTTTATTTTAAAAATATTATTCTTTTCTTCATTTTGTATAACTTAATCAACAAATAGAAAAATTGATTTTGAAAATAGGAGGAGTTTGTTTATTATTTTGATTGGTCTAAAGCAACCATTTTTTCTTTGGGGGTTGAGGTTATATATTTTATTTTTCATATAATATTAAGTATTTTGTCCATTTTGTTTAACTTAACCAACAAATAGAAAAATTGACTTTGAAAATAGGAGGAGTTTGTTTATTATTTTGATTGGTGTGAAGCAACCATTTTTTCTTTGGGGTTTGAGGTTATATGTTTTATTTTTCATATAATATTAAGTATTTTCTCCATATTGTTTAACTTAACCAACAAATAGATAAATTGATTTTGAAAATAGGAGGAGTTTGTTTATTATTTTCATTGGTGTGAAGCAACCATTTTTTCTTTGGGGGTTGAGGTTATAATGTTTTATTTTTCATATATTAAGTATTTTCTCCATTTTGTTTAACTTAACCAACAAATAGAAAAATTGATTTTGAAAATAGGAGGAGTTTGTTTCTTATTTTTATTCGTGTAAAAGCATCAATTTTTTTGGGGGGGTTGGGATTATGTTTTATTTTTTAAAAATTAAATATTTCCTCCTCCTATTTACAAAAAGCGCAATGCATATTTAAATTCCTCCTTTTTCCTAAATGCAATTTTTCTATTCGGAACATGCCCTGGAAAAAAGGTGAGAATATTTAATTTTTAGAAAATATTGATGGTGACTATAATTAAAAAATTTAAACGGTAATTATTTTACAATTAGAAATAATAACCGTAAGTTACTTTAATATAAAAGTAGCATTTCTCTGCCATCATTAAAAAAGAACACCCTGTAGAATATTGCGTCAAACCAAACGCCGCGCGGGGATATCTGCCGTTAGGGACTTTTGATTGTTTCTAGTGTCTTTCTAATGCTGAAATAGAATAAGTTGTTGGTAAAGTAGATATTACTTTAATATCACTTTACCATTTGCATTTAATTAAATTACAAGTTTTATTGTTTAATTAGTCTTATTAATAGATGTAATTAATATTTTTACGTTCTTTTAACAATATACACTATTTTTTCCTTTATTTACACCGTTTTCATAAGTAATTATGAAAAATAACCTTGCTATAAAATCACAATGACATTTTTGCACATTTCAGTTAATTATTAATTATTCAAAGCTTTCTTTATAAAAATATTTGCATAATTTCATTCTCCAAATGTTCCTTTTCAATTTCCAATCGTTTTTTTCATTAAATTCTGTCTTTTAACAGAATTATAAAGCAATTTACCAAATGTCTCCCAAATGTATCCCAAGTGTATACCCACGTGGGGAGACATTTGTTAAACGATTTCGCAAGGGAACTTAAATTGAAAGCTTAAATTTTTAAACAAAAGCGCTTAAAATTAAGTAACCTCAAATTAGTAACGTAAAATTTATTGTAAAATATATTTTGACTTCGAGTTAATAAAAAAATATGTTACATCGGTTTTAAATTAAGCTTAATTTTTTCGTAGCAATTTCTAATGAGAAATTTGACTTGCTTGCAGGGGTCGTTCATTAATTACGTATTGTTTATTTTGAATTATTTTAACCCCCCTCACTAGAGGTACCCAAGCTTTGCCAAAAACAGTTTTTGCTTTTCAAAAAATTGACTACCATTGACATTGAGGTTATGGTCACGGGGGTGACACTCTTGAGTTGGAACTAACCTGAGAGTTGACCGTCGCCACCGGTGGCGCTGGCTGGACATGTGACCGAGATTGAGTGAAATGCAAAGAAAAATTTAATTTACAATCATTAATATTAATTTGATGGTATTTATTTGTACATAATATTGATTCAGTAACTTTTTAGCATATTTTATAATATCAAAAACTTAGAAAAAGTGTTCAATATTTTATTTATAATGAAAATTGTGCAACAATTAATGGCGCGAAATTCAAATTAAATACTAAATAATATTATAATAAATAAATTATCTAAAATATTTCTATTTATACTGGTAAAATATTATTGAACAATAGCTAATAACAATAATTGAAATAACAGAAAATAATTATAATATTATTAATTTGAATTTCGCGCCATTAATTGTTGCACAATTTTCATTATAAATAAAATATTGAACACTTTTTCTAAGTTTTTGATATTATAAAATATTCTAAAAAGTTACTGAATCAATATTATGTACAAATAAATACCATTAAATTAATATTAATGATTGTAAATTAAGTTTTTCTTTGCAATCCCATGCATTTCACTCAATATCGGTCCAATGTCCAGCCAGCGCCACCAGTGGCGACGGTCAACTCTTAGGTTAGTTTATTCTTATGGGAACTGCAGCAGTGTCACCCCTGTGGTTATGGTGCAGGAATGGGGTTGTAGACGAATGATTAAGCTTTAATTTGAGCCCAATAAGTAGAAGTTTCTACTACCTTTCGTTTCGTCGCTAGAGGTGCTCAAACTTTGCCTAAAACGCGATTTTTTGACCTTTTAACCCCCTTTTTCTTGAAAACAAGAGCTGATGGCTAATTTTTGTTTACGGATTCTTATAATCAGCGTGAAAAAAACCTATCAGAAACAACTTCGACATTTGACGCACCATAATCAATGTTATTTGAGTGTTTAATATCCATTTGAGACTTTGATTCCTATTAGAAAGCAATGCGTTTCCTCTTCAAATTTAATATTTAGTACTGTAATATTGCGTCACTCATTAAAAATTAATGCATAAAGTTAAAAATATTTTAATTATATTTTTTATTTTTAATGCCATCAATAATTTTTGAAAATTTTAATAACGAAAAAATATTTCGTTCATTTCAGCGTTCAGTAATTTTGAAATAAAATTTTATGCAGAAAAAGTGAACTTGAAGATATTACCACATACCAGCGGTTTTCTTTAGTCCAAATTATATGTCTTCAAAAGCACTTTTCTTAAACGTATAGAAAATTTATTCCAAACGTCGTTTGCATCTTTCCTTATATTGTGATTAAAAAAATTAAAACCGAATCTTTAAAAATTCCAATCATCTTTGGAGCTACTTACTAATGATTATTTATTGTAAAAAGTAAATCTTTGAATCCAACACAATAAAGAAGAAACTTTTCTATATAAAAGGTTTAATCTTTGAGGTGAACTTAATGAAACTGTTTTTTTATTAAAAAAAAAACAATGATTGATAGTGGTACCTTTCAGTTCAATTCAAAGACAAAATTCCAGTCACGAAGTTCTCACTATCTTCCTCCAAATTGTATCATTAGAAAAAATAGAAGGTGAAACGTGACCAGAGTGTAATCACGAAATTACTTTAATGAAAAACGTCATGATGACAACATCCAATACGTGACAAAGGAAAAGAATTAATGTGAAGTAATGAAGAAAAAAGTAGGGGAACATAGTCGAGGTCGGCCACCTTTTTGACTTTTGTTTATAACTTTTTTTTAAAAATAAATTTGGACAATTGAAGTATATGGTTGGAAAGTCCTGTTTAATAGGAACATCTTTTCTGTACAAAGTAAATTGATTGGTTTTAAAATGAAAAAGTTATAAAGATTTAAAAAAAAAGAATTTGTAGTCGAGGTTGGTCCTTACAGTCAAGGTCGGCCATATTTAAAATTCAAAGGGCATTAATCGTTAAAAAATAAAATAACATGTTTGGAGTTACGGAAAATTGATTCTTTATTGTTTACAGTTTGTAACTTAATGAAATAACAAAATAATAAAAATAAGCAATATAAAAAAATAAATATAAATAAAAAAAAATTTTGCATTAAAATATTAATAAAATTAAATAAAAATATTAATAAGATGATCAATTATATTATGAGTTATTCAGAATTGCAGTTTTTGCAAATGAAGTAGCTCGTCCTCATCTTTGCGCATTTTAAACACATAGTGGCCGACCTTGACAGTAAGTAACATTACCGAATTGTTGTAACCATAAAGAAATACGTTTCGGGATTCGATTTTTTACTTTCATTTTCTTTCAACAATGAGTCCCATAAAATTTCTGCATGCTTGCCTTGACGATTAAATTTTTTTTTATCTTTTATTAATGGTTTTTCACATTATGCACAAAACTTTTTTTGAGCTTTTTTTGTACCGACGTCACAGAAAACACAATTTTCGATCCTCCGAAAATGTAATTGAACAAAAATTTAGGTTTTACTAAGACAAGCTTCGACAAGCATGCGCGTAGGTGGCGCTAGTGAACTTGACAAAAAAACGCGAATGGCCTACCTAGACAGTGGTCCAACCTCGACTATACTCCCCTACATTACAATGTATTAAAAAATTTTAATCTGTGCATTATTTCACTACTTAATGAACATAAATGCAAAATTATCAAAGTAAACCAATTTTCTAAGTGTCCGGAAAATTTGAAAGTATTAAACGATTTTTAACAAATTATAATAGGGTTAGAATTTCTCAAACGGATCACCTAAAACTAAAAAATTTTCTTTTTGAACCAAAATATTTTTTTTGACGCTTAATATGGCTAAGAAGAATCCCTGAATTAAGCCAAAAAAAAATTTTTTGTAAAAGTTATTAACAATTGAATTTTTTACTACTGCTAAATTAACAAATTTTTTTCTGGAGTTCCAGTTGACGGATTTTAAAATTAAAATATGTGTTTTTTTCGTCTTGAATTGCACTATTTGAATATATTTTTTGTTTTTAAATTTTCTTATTTTTTATAATTTTTTATATAATTTGTTTATAAAATGTTAATAAACAAATATGTTCTTCACGTCCTAACAAAAAAATTTAAATTGTATTCTATTCCGTAAATGTCTCCGAGTGTAAAACCGTTTCGAAAAAAAATGAGCCTGAATTAGAAAAAAAGTTATTAATTAAAAACTGCAGCTGTGTATATATAGAGCTTTACATGACGTTAAACTCGCCCCGCACACATTGGCATTTTTTACAGTTTACTATTCAAAATTGTCTGTAACCTACAAATTTTATCGGATTTTCATGGGCTTGGTCTTAAATTAAAGGGCATAAAATTTCTAAAAGACCCCACTAAACCAGTTTTTGAATTTCAAATTGTTTATATTTTTTTTGTTACTCAAAGTTAACAATTTACAATATTTTTAGAAAAAATCATGTTTATTTTTTTATTTTTCCATTGCAGATGATTGGAATCAATTTTAAAATTTGTCTGCAAAAAAAAAATTTTTTTACAAAAAAAACCAAAGTTATCTATTTGTTAATTAACATTGTTTGCAACAATTTAAATAAATTGTATTATGCATTATTATTTGTCTGGTGGTCATGCTGGACTAATTTAAATTGATTCCAATCATCTGCAATAAAAAAATAAACAAAATAAACATGATTTTTTCTAAAAATATTGTAAATTGTTAACTTTGAGTAACAAAAAAAATATAAACAATTTAAAATTCAAAAATTGATTTAGTGAGATCTTTTAGAAATTTTATCCCCTTCAATTTAAGAACAAGCCCATGAAAATCCGATAAAATTCGTAGGTTACAGACAATTTTGAACAGTAAATTGTAAAAAATGATAATGTGCGCGGGGCGAGTTTAACGTCATGTAAAGCTCTATATATACACAGCTGCAGTTTTTAATTAATAACTTTTTTTCTAATTCAGGCTCATTTTTTTTCGAAACGGTTTTACACTCGGGGACATTTACGGAATAGAATACAATTTTAATTTTTTTGTTAGGACGTGAAGAACATATTTGTTTATTAACATTTTATAAACAAATTATATAAAAAATAAAAAAATTTAAAAACAAAAAATATATTCAAATAGTGCAATTCAAGACGAAAAAATCCATATTTTAATTTTAAAATCCGTCAACTGGAACTCGAGAAAAAAACTTGTTAATTTAGCAGTAGTAAAAAATTCAATTGTTAATAACTTTTACAAAAAAATTTTTTTTGGCTTAATATTTTAAGGGATTTTTCTTAGCCATATTAAGCGTAAAAAAACTATTTTGGTTCAAAAAGAAAATTTTTTAGTTTTAGGTGATCCGTTTGAGAAATTCTGACCCAATACCTTAATGATAATTATTATAAAATAATGGTAAAAAGAATAGTAGTAGAAGGAAAAAAGGAGTAAAATATAGAATTAAAAACTACTATTGCATGTAAATATGTTTGAAATTATTATTTTAATTAAATTTACTACACAAAGGAAACATTCGTTAAATTTACAGAAAGATCTTCAAATACTTATTTTAAATTGTAATTTATAATTCTGTAGAGGATTTTACAAAAGTTTAACTCAAAGCAATCTCTTAACTGCAAAATCTATAAATCGTACTTTCTGTAAAAATTTACAAAAATTTTCTATATGTAAATTCATAACAAGAATTCGTTTAAACGCAAACTTTTATTCTATATGAAAATAAACAATATAATTTTTTAATGTGGCCAACTGTAATTACATCAAATTTTGAATGACTTCTTATAATATGACTTTCAAGTATTTAATCGACGCAAATGATTTTATTTGGAAAACAAGATGGAAATGATATATCACAGGACAATAAATATTGATGATGGAATCGTATTTTAGTAACGGAAAATATCTTAAAGGAGTTACACACTCAAACTTCCAGTTTCCATCGAATTTCCATATTTCGTTAGGCACAACCAAACTATTTTTCTTCTTTTCAATACCAGAAATTTTGTTGCGTTGTCGGTATTACAATATTGACTGTATTATTTTTCTCATGTTCGTTCCGCAACTTCCTTCGAATTCATTGCTTGTAATTTCATCTCCAATAATTCAACAATTGTTTCTCTCACTTTGCTCTTTTCAATTCCCATTTGTTGAATATTTTGCATTTGTTGTGAGACGTAAGTAACTCTATTTTGAAAATAAGTTTTTGCTTCATCAATGTTTTTCTCGACGAAGTATCCAGTTCCAATGTCAACTAAAACAGTCTTCGTCTCTCCCATTTGGCCAGCTACGTACATTGATCCAGTGAGAGGCACAAGAATTTCTTTACCTGCAATTATTTATTAACTTTAATGATTATTTATTTATTCAAAAATTAAAATTAAAATCTAACTTTTAAATTTCGAGCGCTTGATTTAAAAAAAGTTGTTATATAAATAAATCTTTTCATATCAACGAATTTGACCAAATTTCATTAAGTCTAATAACCATTAGATAGAAATTACAAAAGTTGAAGTTTATCACTTGATCGAGTTTTCAAAAGCTCGAATTGAAGTAATAATAATAATGATTCAAAAGTTCTGAAAGTTCATATAAACGAAAATTACTTATTTCTTCTTCAAACTAAATTGTTATTAAAATAATTTTGCGTAACGACCAAAAAAATTAATTATTAAGTTTCTAAATGTAAAATTTAATTTTTTGATTTTTATTACAATCAGTAATTGAAGACCTCCACGGAATAACGATCTATGGCACATTTAAAAATGCTTGCAATTTTCAACTTCGAATTGCCATAAATCGTTATTCCAACTATAATATCTAATGAAAACCAATACATTTCATTCCCTATTTATTTAATTACACCATTTCATTTATTTAGACTCAAAATTTAATAATACATGCTCATATTTTCATTACAATTGCATTTATGTAAAAATGTGCCATAGATCGTTATTAGTACTAATCGTTATTCCGTGGAGGTCTTCAATTTATGAAAATATTTCGTGCATTTGAACATTCAAAACTTGTAGATCATTAATATTAATACTGCTACTTTACTATTGTATTATACGACTTAAAATAGTAATTTTACATCCGTAACATCTGGATTAATAGAAAACTAGAGAATAGTGAACAAAGCTACAAAAATATTCTGTTTACTGTTCTAGAATAAACAAACTGTCATGATTTGAAATTGGTAATAAACAGATAAATAAAAATGTTATCCCCCTGGTTGTGCCAAACAGTAACAAGATTCTAAACAATTCATTAACAATGTTCTGTAACAAATTCATGACAATTCTGTAATAACTGTAGCTGTAAAAATTACAAACTTTCTTATTAGTACTATCAAGAAGTATTATTACAGAAAAATGGTTTATCTGACAATAAACCAAACACAGTACAATTTATTATTACAGGAAAAATTTTTAATACAATGATAGAAAAGTTATATAAAAATTTGTATCACTGTATTCACAAGAATTCAACTATTTTTATAAATTTCCATAAAATTCTAAAAAACAATTCAATGATTTTCAAAAGTAATAAAATTCTTCACAGAAATTCAATTATTTTTAATAAATCTAAAAAAACTGTCAACATTTTAATTATCTTTATAAATGAATAGCAAAATTCTTCGACAAAATTAAATTACTTTCAGGAATTTTAATAAAATTCATTGTAAAAGTTCCCTTATTTCCATAAATAACAAGAATTCAATTATTTTCAAAAGTTTTTTTTAATTCAATAATTTGTATGTCTACTATTTTAATAAAATTTCCAAAAAGAATTTAATTATTTTAAAACAATTTTGACAAAATTCTACACGAATATTCAATTATTTTCTAAAAGAATGAAAATTTCATAGGAATTGAATTATTAAAAATAGAGTTTATCTAAATTTTTTTTTAAAAATCAATTATTCGAAACTTTTTTATAAAATCTTCGCAATAATTCAATTATTTCCATAAATAGCGAAATTCTTCAGATTTACTAAATTGTTTTGAATATTATTTTTGAAAAATATTCTTCACGAGAATTCAATTATTTATTTATGTTTTTAAGTAGTAAACGGAACTATGCCCGTTTATTATTATTTCATAAATAATAATAAATATTATTATTATTATAAATTTATTTTCATAAATTTTCATAAAATTCTAAAAAAAACAATTCAATTATTTTCAAAAGTAATAAAATTCTTCGCAGAAATTCAATTATGTTTAAAATTTTTTTTGAAATTCTCCTCGAAATTTCAATTATATATTTATAAATAATTAAATTGTTCTCCACAATTCAATTATTTTCAAAAATTTTAATAAAATTCTAAGCAAACATTTAATTATTTTCATAAATATGTAATAACATTCTTTGGAAGGATTCAATTACTTTTATAAATAGTAAAATTCTTGGCAGAAATTCAATTAGTATCAATAAAATTTAATGAAATTGAATTAATCAAATTTTCAATTATAATTATGAACAGACAAGATTTTTTTTAAATTGAAAAAATTCTTTGTTTAATTCAATTATTTTACAAATTTTTAATTAAAATTATTAAAAAAAACATTATTTTCAAAAAATTTAAAGAAACTCCTCAAAACAATTTAATTATTCATAGAAAATCTAATACAAATTTATGAAACCATTTTTAGATTTATTTATGTAATTATGTTCGAAAGCAAATAAATTTAAATTTGATGAGAAAATAAAACCGGGAAAAATTAGAACAAAGCCGGGAAAAATCGGGAATTTAAAGGTTATCATTTGCAAGAAAATCTAAACACAATTTATAATCAGTCACTATTGATAGAGTAAATGTCGGTAAAATTATTCCCTAATATCTTATTGACGGTCGTTTTTCATTAACGATTTTAGTTTTTAACACTGTTTTTAAATGGAAATTTGAAAACTAAAAATCTAAATTTGACTATTTGTTGAGAAAAGTAGCTTTTTGTAGCATTAGGCTCAAAAAAGTAGCCAAAAAGTAGCAAATAGTAGCTTTTAGTAGAAGAGTGCGAAGCCTGGACTTTTTAATTTCAAAACTTTTTAAAATAAAAAAATTATTTAACCCCCCTTTCTTAAAAAATCAGGGTTCCATCAAAGTTTAAGGGATAAAACCACTCTAGAGACAAAATAAGAGACCTACACAGTAAAAAGAAAGTCTTATTTCAAGGCAGTAAAGCAGTCTTAAATTAAGATGCAACCTTTTTAAGGCAGTCAATGCTGAATTTACGCATTGTATTTTGTATAATTTAACATTATAGCAGGCAGTGCTGAATTTAGGACTGATCTTAAATTAAGATTTACTTTTTACTGTGATATCTTTGATGATTTGTTTTGAGAAAATGAAAAATGGTATAGGATTTCTTTTTGGAGAGTTTATTAAATACATATTGAAGTGTGGACAAATTTTTTTTTTAAAAATATATAACAAAATGGCGGCGGTAAAAAAAAATCGATGTTGACTATGAAATTTTTCGCCGCCATTTTGTTATAAAATTTTAAATAAAAATTTTTTTTCTATACTTCAATATGTATTTAACAAACCCTCCAAAAAGAAATCATATTCCTTTTTTCATTTTCTCAAAACAAATGATCAAAAATTAGTCTCTATTTCTGCCTCTAGAGTGGTGTTGCCCCTTAAGACAAAAAAATGTTTAATATATTTAACAATAAATTAATATCAATTGAGACTAACAAATCGTATTAAAAATCCTTTTAGTCTTGTTATATTATAAAATTTTTTAATTCACAAAATATTTTAATTTTTTTATAAACAATTATAGTAATTTTTCTAACACTCCTTGACCAAAAAAATTCCCTGACTTCCCTCACCACTGGACACCCTGAAAATAAACTTTGTTTTTCAATTTTTACAAAAACTACCTCATTTTTTCTTCAGTGCATATATATTTTGATTTGCGGCTCGATTCATTTTAACCCCCTTTTTTATCACTTTCATTGGCAAGCTGAGATCTTTTCCAATAAATTATCTAAAGTTTAAAAATAGAACAACAATGGATTTCAATAAAATAAATAAAAAGTTTTTAAATAGTTCTTTTTTTAATTTTCTTGAAAACCATTGTTGTCCCTTTTTTAAACTTTACATAATTAAGCTTTTCAATGGAAATGATAAAATTTTTTTAAAAAAGGTCGTTTCTTGTAAAAATTAGAAAATAAGATTGTCTAATTTTGTCGAAATTATCTTAATTTGAAATTAACAATTTCCCTTAAAACGACATAACTTTAATCCCTATAATTTACACATTTAATTTTTTTTAATTTTAATATTTTTGGATTTTATTACTTTTATCGACAACAACAATTTACCAGAGGCTTCGTCCATATATTACGTAACGCTTTTTGGGGGAGGGAGGGGTCAAGCTATTTGTTACGATAAGCCAAAAAAATGTCGCTAATGTATGTAACAGTGAGTGACCTGGAGGGGGGGGGGGTCAAAATTTTCCAAAATTAGTGTTACGTAATATATGGACGAAGCCAGAGTTCTTAGCCATTCCCAGAAAATTAAAATTTCTACTTGATCCTTTCAGGTGAAACTGCTTTTTTACTGATTCTAATTAGAAATTTCAACACGGAGAAAAATATAAAGTAACTTTCTTTTACTACTTTTATAGTAAAAAATTTCCGGTAAAGCATTTGTTGTCATTTTTACTACTTTTGGAGTAAATTTTGCTACGTTCGAAGTAAATATTTGTAAAAATTAGTAAAATTTACTTTGAACGTAGCAAAATTTACTCCAAAAGTAGTAAAAATTACCAGAAATTTTTTACTATAAAAGTAGTAAAAGTTACTTTATATTCTTCTCCGTAAATTAATTTCAGTTTTTAAAATCATTTTTAGAAACTACATTCTACATAACATCTGAACTTGCAGAAATATTGATAACATTGTAACAATTTTTTAACATATTCAAAATATTGAGCCAATGTCGTCAATATTTCTGCAATTTTAGATTTCATGAGTGATGTCTAGTCAAATTCTAAAGATATTTTAAGTTTTACAAATAGTTTTAAAACATGAAACATTCAGAATATTATTTGAGTAGACTTAAGTATTCTAAATACTTTTTCAAAACTTTTGCAGAAAAAAACTTTTGTATGCCCACTGCTATATCAAGCACCGGTTAATATGTGAATTTTAAACCAAATCAGTGTCGCTTTTGTCCACTTCGTGGAATCAATTTCATTCTAATTCAATTTCTGCCGTTTTGACTAAGTTACGGATCCAATTAATAATACCTGAAAAAATTAAGTATAATTTTAGTAATGATTTATTAAAGTAAATTAATAATTTTTGTTTTGAGGTTTAGACCAAAGAATCCAAATTTTCCATTAAAAAATTTGTAAGTTTTAAGTTCCTAAAACAAATTAAACATGCTTTACCACAATGTTTTCTCTTGAAAAGGATGGTGGCTACCATCGAAACGTCGAGACAATTATATTAATAATAAATATGTTGACAAACTTAAATATTGTCTTCAAAATTTTTGAATGGAAAATTTGGATTCTTTGGCCTAAACCTCAAAACAAAAATTATATTAAGATCCAAAAACTGACTTTTAACAAAGTAAATTAATAATTGAACTTCAATTCTCCAGTAGAACATAACCTCAAAATATTCAAGCACACATTTATAATATACTTATTAAATTAAAATTGAATTTAAGAAATATATAACGAGAACTTACCTTTAGTCTCTGGTGTAATTTTATCCATACATGATCCGGATTCTTGGAATTTAGTTTGGGCAATTTTTAGCGTTTGCAATGATTCTTGAAACATAGAAATGTCTTGATCCAATTGTTGTTTTAATATTGAGAGTTGTTGTAGATTTAATTTTGTAAGATCAAATTCCTGTAGATTTGGTTGTTCCGTTAATGATATTTGAGACATTTTGTATACAAAAAACAATTAATTGTAAATTCACTTAGTAATACTGGTTACAGTTTTTCCGAAGAAAATCGAGACAATGATTACCAAACAGGGTCAACACTATGGGTATAGATATGCGTAACGACTGCGCTTCCTGGTCCTGCTCCTGACGTCAGACAAAATGTCGGACTACAGTATCGCGATCTATCCAAAAGTAGAGAAACTTTAGTTTCAAACGCGTTCACATTGCGGTTCAGCTTATTTTAAATGGATGTCGCCACAGTGATGAAAATTCGAGAATAAAAATCTATTCTGTAAATAAATTTTTATGAATGAAAAATATTTTTTAAATTTATTAATTATTAGAATTACCGCACTCTATGATGAACTTTTACTATTGAAACGTTATTATATATATATATATATATATATATATATATACTGAAACAATAAATTATTAATTTTTAAAATTATAGATATTCTTCACTAACACAGCATTTTATATTAAAATAATTAATATTATGAATTTACACTTTTACTAAAAAATATTTTTCAATTATTTGTGTTAACTGTATTATATATACGCAGCTATTAAAGAAACAGTTTGAAGTTACTGAGGTAACAGTAAATAGTATAAAATTTAACCAAAAAAATGTAAAAAATGACAAAAATTATCTTGTATAAACAGTCAAAAAAATGTAATTGCAAAATTTCAAAATTTTGTATTTTCAAATCATCAATTTCATTTCATTGAGAAGCTTTTACAGAATCATATACACATTAGAACAAATATAGAAATTGACAGAAATGGCACAAAAATTGCAGGAAAAGAGCAATAATAAATCAGAGTTCCCTGAAAGAAAAAGAATCGATAGCGAAGAAGCGATGAAGTCTGAGAGGTTAAATGCAATCAGCAAAAAGAAAGAGGAAAGGCTGCTTGAGGTGAAACGTGACTTGGAGGAGAAACTTCGAAGAAGACTGATTGTAAAGAATTCAGATTTGAAAAAGGAGGCGAAAGAACAAGAAAGAAAATTCAGAAATCAAAAGAAATCTTTCAACGAAAAGCAAATGATTCAAGTAGACAATAATTTCATTTTACTTTCGCACGTCATTTTAAATTCTTACAACATACAAACCACAATTTCTTCTCTTTATTTATTTTTCTATTTCACAAAACTTTTATTTCGTTTCCTCATTTTTCAAAAACTTATACTGCTTTTGTTTATAGATTCAAAAATCGTAATTAAAATTAAAGGCAATTTTATGTTTTTATTTCAAAATCAAAATTAAAAATCAATCTCATCGATTATTTTTTCATATTCGCAGATATATCCAAATTTTACTATGTTTGTTTCAGTGGCGTAGCAATAGACGGTTTGGGGGGTTAACAGAAGGTCGATTATCAGTTGGTCATTAAAGTGTGCGACGTACAATTGTGTTCTCCAGCAATTAGTGCAAAAAATTATTTACTTTTTCTTTTTTTCTCATTGTAAAAGTTATCGTTGTTTACATAAGTTATTCATCGAATTCAATCGGGTAAGTAGCCTTTATTATAGTATCAGACCTAATCTTAAAAAATTTAAAGAGACTGTTTCATATTGTTCGTAGGTGTTATGATTTCTCGTCAAATTATGCTTGTGGACAGAAGTGGGCTATTTTCTGTAAACAGAAGTGGGCCACTGCATTGGGACCGTTCAAAAAATACGTAACGCTATTTTTCGAAAATTTTGACCCCCCCTCCCCCCATGTAACGCAATGTTGTATACATTAGCGCCATTTTTTCTGCTGACCGTAACCATTGACGTTCCGTTTCGAGATTTAGTGATTTTGAATAAACTAATAAAGTGGTTCTATGAATTAATTTGTATTATTTAGCAATCATGACACCAAGAAAGGCTAAACCTATACACGTAAACGCAATTTTTTATTACATACACATTTGAAAAATCCTAACGCTTGGAGGTACGAACCTACGACTAACCGAATATTTACGCACCGAAATCTCGCACGCTGACCACTATATGCTACGCTCGCATGGGACTCTCAAATCTTAAATACTCTCAAGTGTCACTAGCTCAAATAAAACTTGCAGAATTACTACGCGTCAATGATACCGCTATATTTTCAATACTTTTTTATTGAATGTATATTTAGGACTATTTCAATATTTCGTTAAAAAAGAAACTTGTTATATTTTTATTATTATATAATACATATATTAAATAATTGTTTTTCAATATAATAATATTGAACGTAATAATATTAATAATTTTAATTAATATCTCAATAATAATAAATTTATTATTATTAAGATATTATTAATTAATATTAATATTATTGAGAATTAATAATAAATTATCAATATTAATATTAATTAATAATATATCAATAACAATAAATTTATTATTATTAAGATATTAATTAAAATTATTAATATCATTACCTTCAATATTATTATATTGAGAAACAATTATTCAATTATTATTGAGATATTATTAATTAATATTATTATTAATATTAATAATTTATTATTAATTCTCAATAATATTAATGTTAATCAATAATATATAATATTAATTAATAACGAATTTTTTTAATTATTTAATTTTTAAAAAAGTCTCAATAAATAATTACTAAATATATTGATTAGATTCATTTATTAATAATTATTTTCTAAAATAATGCAATTACTTGTAATAATTATTTAATTTATAATGTGACAATAAATGACGAGATCCGCAGTCGGATCCGCCCCAGTACCGAGCCAGTACAGACTCAACATATCCGTCATTCTTCCGACGCCGCAGAAGAATAAGATCCGCCGGCGGAAGAAATCCAGTACCGAGCCAGTACTGACAATAGTGGGAAGACGGTTCCGACAGTCGGAGCATAATCTGTACCGCGCCGGTTGCTTTTTCAGATCCGAATCGGTACAGACCGTCGGTACTTGCGGTCTGTACGGGCGCGGATCCCAGCCGGTTGTAAACTCCGACGTTCGTCCGACTTTTCCGCCTGGGCAAATTACGTTATACTATAAATCAAATAAAAATTAAAAAAATTTCGAAACGGACTGCTTGTGTTTGGTTTTACAATACTATTTATTAAAAAAATTAATCATTTAACATAAACAATCATAGTGCTTGATCCTTTTATTTATTTTAGATGAAAAACTTAGGTAGCCCACTTCTGTCTACAAAATCATGATATCGCCTCTTTTTTTGCAAAAAGATGTTAAACAATATGTTAAAATTAAAATTTTTTAAAGAACCCCGCACAATTATATGGAAAATCCGGACCCGGTCAGAATTGTATGTAACTTTAAAAATAATTACTTTTTAATATCCTGATCAAAAATTATTACAGACAATTCTGACCGGGGCCAGATTTCTCATATGATTGTGCGGGGTCCTTTGTGTTTACCTAAAGTTAGGTAACCCCTTTCTTTACAAATCAGGGGCGTAGCCAAAAAAAAGTTTCGGGGGGGGGGTTATGGAATTTGATAAGAGGTGTACTCAGAATAAAATTAGAAATTTAGACTTTAACATATATGTTTTTCCAAAATTTCTGGGGGGGGATACCCTAAACCCCCCTGGATACGCCCCTGCTACAAATAAACGCAATAAATGTTTAAAAATGTTAATTTCTGAATAATCTAAAGCATGAAAACCAAAGTGTGGCCCACTTCTGTCGGTACTACTCTATATAATAAACTGGATGTTTATGTGAGTTTTAATGCTGCCTGCCCGCGCAGGCAGTATGAAGTTGACCAGTTATGAATATATATTATATTATTTTTAGTTTACTTCAATTTTCATACATATATTTGTTGTTCATATATATTTTTTCTTACAGTTAAACCTTTACAATAAAAAGTTTTAATCAATTGATTATTTTTAAAGTTGTCGAAAAATGAATTCTTGAATATTATAATATTTCATGAAGTTAGTCTTAGTATAATAAGCAAGAAAAAATAGTAAAATTGTTACAAAGAAAGATTTAATAATAAATGTCTAATTGAAATAATTAAATACAAATATACAAAAATATTTATTGTGCATTTATATAATATTCCCTACTAAAAATTTCTTCGTGAGTACAAAATATAACAAATTTTTTTTAAGGTTTCAGGCTTTTGGACATTTTTTCTAAAAAGAAGCATAAAATATTTTACAAAAAAACTTAAACGCTCGCGTCAACACGTGAATTGTTGCCAGTTATCATTATAATTGTAAATGACAAAAGAACAACAAATTTTTTAATGTATAAAAATGGCAGTATATACTAAAGATTAATTGTGGGCCCCTCGAACTATTTTGTCTAGGGCCCCTTAATTCGTTGTTACGCCACTGGTTTGTTTCGATACCGAATCAGAAGTAAAATTCAAATCGATATCTTAATTATTTTTTAATTATTCATAATAAAATAACAAGAATGAAACTTTGAAATTCTCAGATTAGAAATGAAATGAAAGAAATAATTGAAGCAGGCGTGGATAATGTGAAAGCGACAAATGTAATAGCATCAAAAATAAAATACGATGGCAATGATAAATTAACAATTGGAAAAGCAAAATATAAATTAAAAAATAATGTACATATGGTGGGTTGGGGAGAGGAGAGTGCAACTATTGGAGCAGCTTTTGAAGAATTAATAGGAGAACAAATGAAGAAAGGATTCCTCGTTGTTGGACAAGAAACTTCAATAGCTATGAATTATCAATCTTTGATAACATACCTTAAAGTTGGTAATGATTATCAAGAAACATTAGAGGCCAATAAAAAGATATTCGAATATTGTAAGAAACTAAAGAAAACGGATATTCTTGTCGTTATTCTCTCAGCGGGAACAGATGATCTTCTCTGTTTGCCAAAGGGCAATATTGGCGTTAAAGAGAAGATTCGTTTCTTGAATGAAATGAAAAACGCGAATGCGACTAAAGAGGAAATAAATATCATAAGAAAGAAAATCTCCCTGATAAGAGGTTGTTGATATTTATCGTCAAAATGGAAAAAAATAGTATTTCTTATTTACCTGATTTTTATTAATTCTTATTTATAAAATAGGGGAGAGTGGGACAAAATGGGGTAGGCGGGTCAAATGGGGTACCTCTGTTTTTTCATGATAGATACACGGAAAAAATAAGTTCAGCAGATTTTACGAAACTAATTTCGCACTAGCGGATATTTAAGATTCCTTGACGAAGTTTTTCAAAAACCCAGAAACTTTCACCCCTCACAGCACCGGGATATTCAGGATATCCCAGAGACGTCCTGGGGATATCGATTTGTTTTCGGAAGTTTGGATATCCCTGGATTATCCTCTGGATATCCATGGACGTCCCTAGGATATCCCAGAGATATCCAAACTTCCGAAAACAAATCGATATCCCCAGGACGTCTCTGGGATATCCTGAATATCCCGGTGCTGTGAGGGACTACTTTAAGCAGAACAATTGTCGAGAAACTGCAACCAGTGTTGTAATTTATAAAACAAGCTTGAATGTAGAAATGTTTCGTATTTTCTGGTGAACATTTTATCAGAAAATGGTAAAAATGTTTCGTGCAATCTAAAAACGCGTGGTTTGAGTTTCCACTTCGCTGTCTATCGTGAATTCTCGAACACAAAGTTTCGTAAAATTCTATACGGGGTGTACCAAAAGTCGCGTTATAAATAGATATGTTGAAGCTTGTCTCGTCGCGTCGGTATTAACTTGTCTGCTGTATATAGATATAATGTGGAAGGAAAAAGAGAACTGCTTTACCTGCCGGTAACATTTGGATAATTGTTTTCTTTTACGTATTTCACATTTCATTGTTCCAAATTCGTAACATTTTTTATGTGCTTTTGTAATCCAAACTTTTAATTATTATTAATTTCTTTTAATTTACATTCCAATAAATTTTATAGTTTATCATAATAGGGGAACATAGTCTAGGTCGGCCACCTTTTTGACTTTTGTTTATAACTTTTTTTAAAAAATGAATTTGGACAATTGAAGTATATGGTTGGAAAGTCCTGTTTAATAGGAACATTTTTTCTGTACAAAGTAAATTGACAGGTTTAAAAATGAAAAAGTTATAAAGATTTAAAAAAAAAAAAATTTGTAGTCCAGGTTGGCCATTACAGTCAAGGTCGGCCATGTTTAAAATTTAAAGGGTATTAATCTTTAAAAAATAAAATAACATGTTTGGAGTTACGGAAAATTGATTCTTTATTGTTTACAGTTTGTAACTTAATGAAATAACAAAATAATAAAAATAAACAATATAAAAAAATAAATATAAATAAAAAAAAATTTTGCACTAAAATATTATTAAAATTAAATAAAAATATTAATAAGATGATCAATTATATTATGAGTTATACAGAATTGCAGTTTTTGCAAATGAAGTAGCTCGTCCTCATCTTTGCGCATTTTAAACACATAGTGGCCGACCTTGACAGTAAGTAACATTACCGAATTGTTGTAACCAAAAAGAAATACGTTTCGGGATTCGATTTTTTACTTTGTTTTCCTTTCAACCATGAGTCCCACAAATTTTCTGCATACTTGCCTTGACGATTCAATTTGTTTTTTATCTTTTATTAATGGTTTTTCACATTATGCACAAAACTTTTTTTGAGCTTTTTTTGTACCGACGTCACAGAAATCACAATTTTTGATTTTTCGAAAATGTAATTGAACAAAAAGTTAGGTTTCACTAAGACAAGCTTCGACAAATATGCGCGTAGGTGGCGCTAGTGAACTTGACAAAAAAACGCGAGTGGCCTACCTAGACAGTAGACCAACCTTGACTACATTCCCCTATTTACCGATGACAATATATATATTAATTTCTCAAGTTTTAACTGTTATTACTTCAAATTTTAGACAATTTAATATAAACATTTTTTGAGTTTGAATTTAATTTTGAAAATTTTTTGTCAATTTATTTATAATTTAAAATTAAGAATAAAATTATTTTCTAAAAATTGAAAAATTATATAGAGATTTTATAACTAATTATAATCAAAAAATGTTATTTTAAAAACCATAAAATATTTTGTATAACTTTTAAAAAAATGATTTTTTTAAAAATTAATATTCAGTATATTGACATTTCTCACAAGCGCAGTTTTAATCTCCTCAGTTAGTATATAAAGAAACTCAATTCTTTCATCTACAAGTGCGAGTTATATTGTATGTGCGTTGCGTCAGAATTCGTTTATATGTATGCGTATTTCCGTTAAGTTAGTGTCAGAATAAAATAAGCCAATCCAAGCGAACCATTGCGTTGTAGAGTGCAGTTACATGTGTCGAACCAATCATCTATCTCCTATAGAAGACGAGAAAAAATGGTCTTGAGAGCTCATTGGTACATTAAGAAATTCTTTTTTCTGCTTTATTCGTTTTTTTCTCCGTGAATATTTTTTTCCGTGGCGCATGCGCTTCAGGCTAAACATTTTACAAAACTCTTGAATTAGAACGTCCAACCGATCATTTGTGAATTCCATAGAATTTTTTTTGAGTTTTCGAGAAACGCAGTCATCATATATTACTATTGATTCTGTTTTATCTTATACTAAACTCCTCTCCGTATCCGCTATTCCAAAATTAGTTTCGTAAAATGTACTAAATTAATTTTTTCCGTGTACTTTTAATTTTTTTATCCTCGACATATATCATTCATGTTGATAAGAAACTGTTATTAATTATAAAGACACTCGAAAGAAAATTTTATTTTGAAAGTTATACAACTTTTAAGTTTTAAGCAAAAAAAATATGAATTTTTTTCAAAATTAAAGTGCTTACAAAACTTTTTGGGATAATGCATTTAATTTGGCAAGTGTAGGATCTTTTTCAGTACTTATTCTAGAGTAATTTCCAATAGAATAGATTGTTTAATTGTTTACAATAACTTGGAAATATTGCATTCTGTTTTAATATGCAGTGTGGGGCAGAATGGGGTACCTAAGTGTGGGGTATGCCGGAAGCTACGCCGTTTCATTAAAACTATTTAAAAACATTATATTATGCATATTTAAAGGTTTCCTGCAAAGAATCGATATTTTTGTTTCGAAGCATTTATACTATCGATGTTTAATAATCGATATATCGATATTTTGCAAAATCCATGTTTTTTTGTTAAATTCTAATAAATATTACTTGTTTCTTCATAGTAATAAAGAATCCTACTTTTTGTTCTTATTTATATAATCTCATACAACAAGAATTTAATGAATTTTTAAAAAATATTCAATGTTTTGTATAGTTATTTGATGCCACTTCATTTTGCCCCACGGGTGGGGCAAAATGGGATTTTAGCACTTTCTCAGAAAATACGATATAAGTTCTTTCAAAAATTTTTTTCTCCGCTATTATCATAATTTCCTCAAAGCTAAATGTACTAAGAAGAATTCTGAAGTTTAGCTGAATCGATTTATTCGTTTGGTTCTCTGTAAACAGACAATTTCAAAAAGGTACCCCATTTTGCCCCACTCTCCCCTACCTTACTCTCAATTTGCATGTTTTGGAATTGTTCTTGACTAAAAAAGAACAAGTGTTACAATTTTATTGTGAAACAAATCTAAAAATTTTTTATATTTAATCTCAAGCACTTATTTTGCATCTGTTTTTTAACAAATATGACATTAAAAGTTCTATCATTGTGTTTTACACTTGTCCCAGAACATTTAAAAATTAAAATTACAACTATTGTTAATGATGTTTTCTAAAAGAACCTCTAAAAGTGAACCTCTTGATTTTTCATCTCTAAGGTGCCCTAGACTGTAAACAATTCTTATCTGAATAACTTACCAGAAGAACCAGAAATTTTGATGTTAGAGTCTTTGTTTTTGTACTCATAGAAATGAAAAATTCGATGTTTCGTGAAATTTTTCGTAATACAGACTGTTAAAAAATTTTAAATAAGTTTAATTTCTATTCTTTTTCTTCAAATGACCGCAATAAAATTATACCCAATCGTTACCCGTGTAGAAATTGAAACGTGGTAGTGATCCGGCCCTGATCAGGTTAAATAGGGCCCTGATTTGGAAATGAAACACTTTTTCTGATCAGGTCCTAAAGTGGTGTTTAAAAAAAGGCCACATCAGGGACTTATAAGGCCCTGATCACAACCTGATTTGGTATTTTATAAGTATACTTATAATAAATTAGCTTATTTTATCTGCAGTAAAATTTATTTCTATCATTTCATGTGAAAATTGAAGGTTAATTTTAATATACAAATTGTTTTATTCCTTTTCAATAAAAAACTAAAATTTTGTTAAAAAGTTAAAATGATTGCGACAAATCGAAATTATGCAGATTTTGTTCTCTTTATTTCTAAAGAAATATAGAAAATTATGCAAATTTCAGCAAAAAAAGAAAATTATTTGCATCATTATTTCTATTTTCAAATAATAATTTTGTAAAAAATTCTGAATTTTTTTAAAAAAGGAAAAAAATAATTTTTAAAAATTTTAAAATTTTTCAACAAAATGTCAAGTTATATTTTTTTATTGTTTAGAAATAGAATATTATATCCGTACCTTCAGATTCAGAAAAAACATTTTTTTTAGTTTTATCAGAATTTGGAACATTTCTTCGAATTCATTTTAATTAATTATTATTTATTTTCACTCGAACTGTTTCTTTTTTGTTAAAACTGACGTAAAATGAATTTTAAATAATTGAATGTGGCTTTTTCGAAGTAATCTGGAACCTGATCAGGTCCTGATCAGGCCCTGGTCAGGGCCTGAAGAATGGCTGTGATAAGTAAATCCTGATCAGGGCCAAACCACAAATAGAATTTACTTAAGGAAATTTCTACTCGGGTAACCTTGTAAAAAATGGTTTATAATTTTAAAAAAACCTCCTTTTTAGAAAAGGGCCCATTTTGTCGGTCCTTTTAAAATTATTCCGTAATTTATCGTTCAAGGTGAAAGACTGATAAAAATTCCCTCACCGTATCTCACAGTGGAGGGATAACTGTGAATGTTTTTGCGAG